TTTTGTATTTGAAACTTATTAATTATAATTGTTAAAGTATGCCAATATTAAACACATCAATTTACTTTTGATTTCTAAATTAAAACAAATTTTGATACATTCATTAATATCAACATACTCCATAATACTGAATAACTAAACTTACAGTATTTAGTAATAGAAGAAGAACTGTCACACTTCAACCTACATATGTCAAATTTACCTCTTAAATCTAATAGATTAAATATGAAAAAACTCATTTCTTCCAACAGTGAGATGTAGTACTTACAGTTTCTTCCATCCCCCAAGTTTAAGTTTTAAATTCAATGTTTGTCCCGTCATTTAGTGTTTCTGTTCCTGTTAATGTGTGTTTAATTTGTCCCTGATCGTCTTAATTTATAATAATTTTATATACTTTTTATATACCTTTTACATAGTTGACTTTACAATAATTTATTAATTTTGCCAATAGACTTGATAATTACAAGTCAAAATAATTGCACAACCACACAATCGGTACAGCTACTCTTATTCATTGTCATAAAACTGTCTCCTTCATTACATAAATACTCAATAAATAACACACATTCCAAAAAATATATCTCTGATATAGGTGTAAATAATTTAAATAATACAATAGTAAAGAACATCACTTTCATCTGACAAACAACCACAATATACCTATCTCTAATTCATTGGATCAAATCTGTTCTCCTCAAGAACTTCCCGTTTATTGTCAAAACAACTGCAATAGCACATTAAAGTTCTCCAATCAACAATACATGATTTTTGCAACCATGACCTACCATCCATCAATTAATAGAGTACCGGCATGTAAGTAATGTTTGTTTTGTTTTATTTATTTGCTCATTTACTAATTTATTACAATATAAGATTGCTACTTTATACCAATTGTGGGTCTTACCTTGTCTGTTAATACCTTTTATATATTCAAATTATTCATTTTGAAAACACAGACATGTAATATTGGCATAATTACTATAATTTGTATGAACTAATTTATTTGTTTATTTTATCTTTATGAGACACCACCCTAATTGGATTTATTTTATTGCAGCATTAGTTTAACTTTGTATCTCGACCTGAAGATGCTTTGCAAATTGTAGAAAGCGAAACCGGTCGTCAGATTGTTAAATTAAATTGATTGTGAGTAAGTCTTATTATTATTTCTTTACCTATTTAATAAAATTTTGATTTTCTTTGATACTATCTGACCAACACAATTTTGGATTTGGAGAGTTACTAATCATATTCGCAACCTTAATTAACCTGAAAATTTGAGATCATACATCAAGACACATGTCACAAGTATTATTAATTTAATAATTTCATATAATGTAAAAAAATATTTACTTAGTACTGTTATAAAAATTCCATATTAAAGATACTTTTGAAAACCTAGGATAAAAATTTATTTACTATCAGTATACGTGCGACTTCTATTGCTAAGAAACCAAAAATAGTACGTCTATATAATCTTTTTTAAAATTTAATCAAAGCCACATCCTTAAATCATTTTTATGTTTACATCGTCTGTGTAAAACTGGAATGAGGCTTATGCACCAATCTTGATATTTTGAAATACGGTAACCTCAATTTTCCACAGCCACTCTAGTTAAAACTCTGTCAAGCCATCAAACACAGATCTTCTGAAATATCCACCTGACACCGAGTAGACAAAGGCATAGTTGGCTTAGCCTATCTTGTTTTGGGCTCTTAAATTTTATAAATAATAAAAACTAGCATATTTTCTATAAATAACTAACTTACTTAAAGGTTAATTAAATAGTGTAATTTTTTTTTATACTTCTGTTGTAAAATACTTTAAATAAAGTGTTAACACTTATTACGTATTTATAAACAATGAAGCGATCATTGCACTATCAGTCTGATCAGAAAACACAAAATAGAAGTACAACTGAGCGAAACATAGTTTGGTTTCAGAGAGAACCTTGGAACCAGAGAAGCATTATTCAGTTTGCGTGTGTTTTATCGACTTCGAAAAGGCTTTTGACCGGATCACACACGAAAAACTGATTGGTGTCTTGAAAGAGGTGGGAATTGATGAACAAGACCTCCGTATTATTAAAAGTTTGTATTGTCATCAATGTGCAAAGGTACGAATTGATTAGAACTCGACGGAAGCAGTGGAGATACGAGAGGTAAGGGTATATTTTATCACCTCTACTTTTTAATATCTACGCCGGATTTAGTTTCAAAGAAGGCTTAGATGAAGATGCGGGCAATAAAATCAACAGAATTAATACCAATAATGTAAGACTAGCGGACCAACTCGACATCGAGTTTTGATGTAAGTTTTGCTGATATTTAAGAGGGGCGGAGTATAACGATCCTAAAAATCCTAAAAATAAACTGTATCGACAGTAGTTTTTTAGGATTTTCAGGAAGATTTACATTAGGAAACGAAAACAATATGATTGTTAGATTTTCGACAATAAATAATATAAATCTTCAATTTCCGACAGACACTGCCCGTCATACCTAAAGGTGGACGTGCAAGAACTGTTGAAGGTTTGATAAAAAGAAGTCCTCTCCTCTCTGGCGTAGAGTAGAAAAGTTCATGCTTTCAAAAAACATGAGAGTGAACGAAGGTAAAGATCTCTTCGCTTCCTACCTCCTTTCCGTTGGCGATGGAATTTATGGAGAAAATATCAAACTCCCTTCCACCATCAAAGGCGAAGGAGACGTTGTAGAATTTGTTTATGGAAATATTCAAAATTCAATTGCAGAAGGACTGCTAACAGAGCTTGCAATTTGCGCTCCAACTAATGAGGACTGTGCACAGCTTAATCAGCAAGTTCTTGATCTTCTGGACGGCGAAGAACGCGTGTACTTGACCATTGATAAAGTCGTCAGTGATGACATCAATGAACATCTCCTACTTCCTACGGAATTCTTGAATAAAATAGAAGGTTCAGTCTTGCCACAACATCGTCTTCCTCTTAAAGTAAATGCTGTCATTTTACTTATAAGAAATATGAACACAGCAAAAGGTCTCATAAATGGCACTCGACTCAAAATCAAATCACTTCACCCCAATTGTTTTTGAATGTAAAGTTTTTATAGGACATCAAACTTTCCCCGGCTGAAGGAATATTCAGTTTTTCAATTACGCGGCTCCAGTTTCCTGTTCAGTTGGCCTTTGCAATGACCATCAACAGTGCTCAAGGACAAAGTCTCAAGAAAGTTGGGATCTATCTTCCGAATCCGGTCTTCTCTCATGGACAACTGTACGTTGTAATGTCTCGATCTCGATCATTTGATGGCGTCAAAGTTTACATCACCCCGAATACCAAGCAGAAGTTCGACTAATGGATCCATCTGGACTAAAAACGTCGTATTTGACGAAATATTCCATGATATTTAGTGATTTTCTTATTCTTATGTGATTGATTGCGATTGTATTGAACTAACTTTGATTGACTTTAATTTTTGAACTTAAATGAATTAATAAATATTTTGTACTTGAAATTCAAAGTTGGTTTTTTTTTGTTTGCAATTTGGTTAGTTTAGTTTAGGTTAGATTAGGCTGGGATATCTTACCGGAAGTAAATACCGGTTTCATAATTCTGAATTCAATCAGTAAGTATAGGAAAAAAGTAGACGCGGGCATATTTTAAAAATACATTTAAAATTAGGACTTTAAATTTTGAAGAATGAAACCTGTAAAATTCCTATACTTTACTATAAGAAAAATTCATTTTATGGCCGAAATTTTTAAACCGGTTCGAATTTTTTTAATTTGAGACCTTAGGGGGAATCTACCCAACAATCTGTTTAGTTATTCGAAAAAATTATTCTCCTATCTATCACCGTTTAGGAGGAGTATTGCGCACAAGAAAAGGGCTTAGCCTTTTAGTATATAAGATACACAGACGATACGATACTGATTGAGAAGTTCGCTGTAAAAAGGATGCAGCCACATATTTAGACCGTTTTGGGTGAAACATATGCCATAATTAAAAGAAACTGGCAGAATCACTGGTATAAGAACGATGCAGATCCGTCAATAAATAAAGGAATTATACGCCTTTATGCATCTGCCTTCTCACTGATTTGGTGCAAGAAGGGTGCACCTTCGGACCTGCATCCTTTTTGCAGCAAAGAATTGTAAATATTCGGTGATTTTCTTGGAATGCAAGGTCATCTTCTGTTTGCGCTGGGCCGGCAGGGCAGCTGAATTGTTTTGACTTGTTAGTCGCTATCATTACTGCGTGGCATGCGTTTTCATGTGGTTTAATTATTCGTGTAAAAATTTAACGTCGTGTAAAAATAAGTGACACCGAGTCAGATCCGTTTAGCGCTCGTGTGTCAGACTATGAACCTACAAGCTCTGATGAAAGTTGTTTTAATAGTGATGTTGCAAGACCTTCAGCTAGGAGGAAACGTCCAAAGAAAAAACGTATCTCTGTAAAAATCTCTCTGTTGTCAACATAGAGCCCACGGAAGAGCCCTCAGTTGTTTCTTTAACCAAAAATAGAAAAAGTGACAACCCCACTCTCTGGAAAGTAATATGAAAAAAGCTATTGCAGAAGGAAAAATGTATACGAACTGGAAAGGAATACAGAAGGGACTGAGAGTAACTGGATCGAACTGCAACTGCAGGTAGAAGTGTTTGCAGAATGTGGACGAAAAAACAAGAAAAGTTGTCTTACACAAGTTTAACTAAATAGACTACAAAGATTTACAAAATACCTATTTGGGAGGCGTGATTCGAACTACTATTATTCAAAGAACTCGAAAAAAGACTAATAAAAGGCAAGACCGCACTTGTTCCCACAAATACTTTATAAAGCTGGGTAAGCTATTCAAACGAGTTTGTAGACATGCATTTGGTCAATCCACGGCATATCAAGGAAATAAGGAGATCCATTGCACAAGCTTTTCGTGACAGAAATATTGTAGCGCCACCTAGTAACAAAGAAAAGCATACAAATAGACTCAACCGAAAATCTAACGAAACACTCAAAAATATGAACATGCACATCCAGAGCTTTCCAAGGCGTGAATCGCATTATAGTAGAAACAAATCCCGTCGATTCTATTTATCTACAGATCTAAATGTAAAGAAGATGCATCAACTCTATTTGGATCTTTACGAACCAGCAAGTGTTAGCAATCCTAAATATAAACCCAAAGTTCCGTATGACTTCTACTATCGACACTTCAAAGAAAATTTAAACTACAGGTTTGGCTCACTTCGATCAGATACGTGCAAAAAATGTGATGTCTTAGATAACAAACTCAAAGATGTGACCCTCGACGAAAATGAACGAAAAGTTTTGGCAGCGGAAAAGAAGTTGCATACAATTTAAGCCGATTTGTTTTTCAAGGAGCTAAAGGAGAAAACCGCCTTCTGCAAACATAGCAACGAAAGAGGAGGTTCTGACCTTTGAATTCGAAGAAAACCTTCTATTTCCAAAAAGTTCTGCTGGAGAAGCTTTCTGCAAACGCCAGTTGTGGACATACAACTTCTGCGTCCATTCTGGTAAGACAAATTAAGCACACTTTTATATGTATGATGAAACTACTGCTTGAAAGTCACCAAAGGAGGTGGTGTCATTTTTGTACCACTATATAAAAAATATACTCCCTAAAAATGTTAGTTTTATACCTTTTTTTCCGATAACGCTACTGCGCAAAACAAAAACTAAGTAATGATTCAGTTTCTGTATTTGCTGGTGAGAACTAGGTCTATTGACAAGATAGGGCACCGCTTTCCTGAGCCTGGACATAGCTTTCTTCCCTGTGATAGCTACTTTATAGTTATTGAGAAGTTTTTAAAGAAGATGAAAAAGATTATGTTTTTAGCCCCCAACAATATGCTGATTTTGTTAAACAATCATCCAAACAGTTTATTTCCATTCTGATAAAACAAAATATGATCCTGAATTTTAGTGGTCACTATAAAGATTATCTCAGATGCAGAAAAGCAAAGATTCCAGATTTCCAAATACCGAATTTTCCAGTACAGCAATAAACATTTAAATGGCATTCGAGTCAGTATACCTACGGGCCTTTCAAGTTTTCACTTATTTCAAATCTGGAAAAACCTTAACAGCGACTACTCAGTTTCTTCTGATATTTCTGTCTATTGCAATCCTATACCTGTCAAAAAAATCAAATATGCAGATGTAATGCAGTTGGCACGATTCGTTCGTATGGACCTAATGGCTTTTTACACCCGTCTCATTCTGGAGAACCAGAAAACCGAATCATCTGGAACAGATGATAAAAACCGTGTAGATGAATGAAGGATGTGTTTGCCCATGTGTTGGTTTAATTTTTTTTCTGAATGCTATTTTTTTGACATCAACCTGTTTCTTTTTACAGATTTTTTCGTATTTATGTAGTAGGCAAATCATAGTCATTTTGATTTGATTGTTGTAACCGAATAAAAGAGTTTTTGTTGGGAATTTGTTTTTTGTAAAGAAGTATTATTTCACGTGTTTGGTGCAAGAATGATGTAGGTTCAACTTTTTTAATTTTCTTATTTTTTCAAAAATTATCTACCTGAAAATAGTTTCAAGTATTGACTAAATCTGTTTGTTATCGATTGATATTGTCTTTCAAGTTAAAATAAATACTTTTATTAAAAAACAGTTTTTTTTTCAATTTCCCAACAATTGGTAAAATGCATTATTCTTTCACGGCCATCGTCTAACTTGTTAAACTGTTTGTTCGGGCTGTTAGACCGTTGTCTTCTGAGATTAGTTCTCGACCTTTCGCCAACACCAGGGGTTGGCATCTTCTGAAGATATTACTGCTTCGCTTGTAAGCTCAAACTGACTTCAGTCAGTTGAAAGACAAAACTAATGTTTGTCAGCAAAACAAAGTTAAAACCAATGAACTCCAGAGCGGAATAAAGTTAGAAAGAGTCCACAGTATCACCTATTTGGGCGCCAATGTTAACGGATATGAGCAAAGAAATAAGAATACGCATTAAAAAAGCCAGACCCGATTTCTATACCTAAAGAAAATTGTCATTATTAGAGATATTACATAGATCCTTAAAATCAGATTAATGCGCTGCTGCATATTCTCCACAGGTCTGTATAAGATGGAGAGCTGGGCACTTACAGAAACACTAATGAAAATATTGGAGGCCTTTGTGATATGGATTTTCCGACGAATCCGAAATCTCCGAGAGAGATATCAAAAAACATCCGCTAATCTGTTTAGAGTTGCCGTAAACAAAGTTATTATTGTCAAATAAACCAAATCGCCGGGTATAACATCAATATTACAAAGTGACAATTGAGTTTTTATTTCTGGAATTTAAATACGTTTTACTTTCGTATTTTGTAATTGATATTACTTTTATGACCCAAAATTTACTAATTTTGTGGGACTTTTAGGTATTCCGATCAGGGGCCAGACTGGCTCTGACTGACTGCATAGAACAGGAAGAAACGTGTGTATCTCGGGCGTGCAGAGCGTGACAAGTTGACTTTTGCTTTAGCGAGAGAGTCGAGGCTAACGTTTTATCGTTTTAAAACGTTAACGTGCATCCGTATCCTTTTATATCCTTTAGCGCGAATCGCAATATCGCGAGAGTCCGTAATTAGCGTCCCTCGATGTGAACCTCCGCGTCGCTCAACCATGAAATGCAATCTCATTTTTCTTCTTCTTATTCTTCTTCTTTTCCGCTCGGCTTTATGGTGTCTCGGACTTTTGGCTATGCGGATATCATCTCCTTCCTGGATAAACGGTGTGCTTCGCTCCGGCTCGATTTTATTTCAACGTAACATAAATACACTTTTTTTGTTGTTAAACGAACTTTTATTGTTATGTTTTGCTTCTCAATCTAGTTAAGGAAGTATCGGTTATTATTATTTAAGAGTAGATAATATTAGAATCAACTACCTAATCTTTTTTTTTTGTTCCTTCCAATCTAAATTTTAATTATTAATGAAAATTAAATTAATTTACCGTAGTTTGGGGCTAAATTGATTATTTCATTTTTGATTTTGGACGTCAAATTTTTAAAGTGGTAATATAGATTTTTATAAAAAAATAATTATGAATTTTCTCTGTATATCTTCCACACATCTTTATTAGCAAAATTATAAAACAGTTTTCAGTAACGTCAAAAAAGAAAAATAAACAAGACAATCATGGTAGACTTACAAAAGAGTAATATACTAATTAAAATTATAAGAAAAATAGAAATAATAATGCGACATTCCCAAGCTACAATAGACAGCGGATGAGAAAGAACAGAAAATAATACAAATAAACAATGGAGTAAGACAAGGAGATGTGCTCTCAATGGTACTATTTATTCTATCACTAGACAAGATAATACAAGAGCTGTCAAACGCAGGAACTATAAATAAGAATGCAGTACACATAATAATATATGCGGACGATATAACCATAGTAGCAACAGATAAAAAGGCATTAAAGAAAACCTTCCAAGAAATAGAAAACAAAGCCAAACTGGGAATGACCGGAAATAAATAAAAATAAAACAAAACACATGAACGTAAGCAAGAAAAAGAAGACACTTATTAAAGCAGACACACTATTTGGAAGTACTAGTCAACAGAAGAAATGAAAGTGTAGATATAAAAAGAAGCATTCAAGCGAGAAACTGCGATCGAAACTGCAAGTCGAAACACAAAATTGAAAATCTACAAAACGTTCATAAGACCATTACTAGTATATGCTGCAGAAATATTTACATTAACAGCAAGAGAAGAAGAGCAATTAAAAGTTTTTGAGAGGAAGATTATTAGAAAAATACTGGTACCAAAGAGGGAAAAGGAAGAGGATGCATGACAATGGATGATTCACGAAATACAAGAATAGATGGGTCAAGAGAACTTAGTTAGGGCAATAACAGTACAAAGAATTAAATGGTATGGACACATATTAAGAAAAGAGAAGAGAAATCCGTCAAGAGTTATAATGGAATGGATACCACCAGGTAAAAGAACCAGAGGCAGACCTAAACTGAGATTGAGATAAAAAGTGATCGAAGACTTTAAGAGTATAGAAATTAGAAATATAGAAAGGACAATCAAAGACAGGCAAGAATTGAGAAAAGTAATGGAAACAGCGAAACACCAGAAACTGTAAAACCAAACACAGAATGGAATGATCCCCCACCCAACCTAAGTTAAGTTGAATTGGTACGTCAATGCACCATATCATCACCATTATCATCAGCTATTCCATCCATCGTCGGATGTAAGACTCCCTAAGGTGTGTCCATTCATTTCTGTTTTTTGTTTTTTGCATCTATTCCTGACCAGCCATTCTCTTGATATAATCAGTCCATCTGGTGTGAGGTGTGCCTCTACTTCTCTTGTTTGCTCTCTCTCACCATTCAATAATTCGCTTCGTCCAATGGCTGTCTTCCATTCTTCCTATGTATTCTGCCCAGTTTCATTTTAACATGGCAATCTGTTGGACTATATTACTAACTTTTGTTCGTCTTCTTATTTCTTCAATGGACTTGCGATCGCTAAGCTTAAAGTTAAGTATTCTCTTAAGTATAATTGAAGAAAGGTTTGTAAACTTGACTATTGTTTATAGCATTTTATCAGAAAATGTCTGACTCCAACATTCTATATGTAACGTAGCTAGTCGTCCTTTATTATTATTATGTATTACTCCTGGGAGACTTGTAACCAGGTTATGTGACTCAGTCCGTCGCTTCTTCACGCGCTGTGCTTTCATCCATCTAGTGTTTTTTTTCCAAAGTAAAATAAATTGTAGTTGTAAAATCTGGCTCTTCCTCTGTCCCACTCTCTTCAGTATCAGAGTCACCAACCCTTTCATCAGTTGGACGATCTTCCGCATCTGTATCCGGTTCATCCTCGAAATCTTCCACTTGGTTAGGGGATCTTCATTTTCGTCCTCTTCCAACATAAATTTTCAAAGATATTCTATATCATTCGGATTATTTAGGTTGTAAATCCACTTTAAAATAAGTATATAAAATAACACTCAGCTTTAATAAGTAGGTCGAAAATAGCCTAAAATACGACCAAAGTAAAACAACACTTACACGTTATGTCGCAATGTATCAAGGTACCTTTAGATGCTCAGATCAGTTTTCTGTTCAGTTTCAGTTTCAGAACAGTTGTCAGTTCAGTTTGGGTTGTTAGACGTGGTTAGACGATCAGTTTAGTTGTCAGTTGTCATTTGTCTTGCACAGTTCAGTGATGGACTTCTTCTTCACGTGGCATCTCCTCTAAGAAGGTTGGCAACCATCATGGCAATTCGCACTTTCGACACCGCTGCTCTAAAGAGGTCAGCAGAAGTGCAGTTATACCAAGCTCTCAAATTATTCAATCAGGAGATG